TATGTATGTATGTATGTATGTATGTATGTATGTATGTATGTATGTATTTTTGTGCACATGTGTGTAAGTGCCTGCAGAAGCTGTAAGAGGGGATCCAGTACCTTGGAACCAGAATTATAGGAAGTTGTGAACAACTCAACTTGGGTGCTGGGAATCGAACTCTGATCCTCTGCAAAAGCGGCAAGTTTTTTTTTGTTGTTTTTTTTTTTTTAACAACTGAGCCATCTCTCCAGCCCCTACTTCTTTCTAAACAAGTCTTAAAATTGATACTGATGTGGTATGGATGAATGTATAATAGGAAAGCCATGGGCTATCCCTATTTACTCTGCAAATGTCTTTTATTCTTATGTACTTTAAAGATCAGAATTGTCGAGACCCTTTAAAGAATAAAGTGAATAAAGTTTCTAATTATAGACAAGAGATATGATGTTTGCTTTGAGGTCTCAGTAACACAAAATAGTTTTGCATAAAATTGAAGCAACTCTATCCTAGATACATTAAAATAGGGCACATTTCAGACATGGTTTGAGTTTATGTACATCTGCCCTATTGCTTCTGATAATAAAGCAGATGGCCTTTTATCTTCAGTTACTGTGTTATTTGTTAACAAAATAAATGTTTGAAATTAAAAATGTTTCCAATGGTCCTGCTTATAGAAGTAAAAACATTATTAAGTATTATTTATATTAAATAATTGTCTAAATTATATTATTTACTTTAATTAATAATTTATTTTATTTTATTAATAACTAAATCAACAATATATTTATGTATATAATCATATAAATTATATTTTATATAAAATATATTAAATAATTAAAAATATTCAGTAATTTTTTTATTCAGACTTGTATATCCAGTCAGTAATGAGAGGTTTATAGCTTCTTTTCTTCAAGCAAAATAAACAAACAAACAAAGTAATACTATGTATGATAGCTAAAGAGAAACCCTCCCAAAACAAATAAACAACAAACAAACAGAAACTCATAGAATTAAATCTCTTGGAAATACAGGCACACTGTTTTTACAATTGAATAATTTTTTAAATTTAATTAATCGTTTTAACTTATTCACTTTACATCCCCTCAATGTCCCCCTCTCGGCCACCCCTCCCACAATGCTTGCCCACAATTGAATTTTTAATAAGGTTTTGTTTCATCTCACCTACTTACCAATATGGTACAGTTCTGCATTATGCAATTTCTGCCTTGAAAGTCAAATTGTGACAGCATGCCATTGTAGAATTTTCTGATGTGAAAGGAGCTTCAAAAACCATATCTCCAAAATTAAAAAAAAAAAAAAGTGAGAATTGGCAGGACAGGTTTGAGCTCCTCACTTTTTTAGGGATGTCAGAAAGGTTTTCTTTTAAGAAATTACTATATCGTCTCGTTCACCAAATGCAAAATGTGAAGTGATAACGGGAAAGCCTCGAAAGGAAAGGTTCTCTTCCATTCTTTACCACTCAGGACCCAACAACAACAAACAAAACAAAACCTATTCCCCACTTACCTCCAAAAGTGACCCCTAACACTTAGGAAGAGTTTCTGTGTAACTAGCTGGATAACTTCCAGTCCTCTCAGTTCCTGATTTCAAAGGCACCAGGCAATGGCCAGCCTGAGTCAGGAATGGCCAGTCTGGAGGAGGAAACAGGGACCCCTCACTTAGACGCAAACTTGAGAAAATAACTGTTGAAAGTTTCCAAGGGAGGTTTGAAGAAGCAGGACAGTAGGAGCTGATAGAACCAATTTTATTCTTTTCCAGGCATTTCTAACTTTTATGACTATGCATCCCCCCCCCCACCACTATCTGTCTTTGTGCCTCCAGGGCCAGTGAAAGAGCAGGGCAGATTCGAGATTGCTTTCAGGGTTTGCCTTCTCTGATGATGGATTACCATGTCAATTTAAACGGCATAGGATTAATTTGTTTCAATGATTTCTCTTTAGGCTGAATGCCAGCCGTGTTCTATCTCTCCCTTTGCTCTTCAGAACCACAACGAGAGAGAGAGAGAGAGAGAGAGAGAGAGAGAGAGAGAGAGAGAGAGAGAGAGAGAGAGAGAGAGAGGTAGGTTCCATATTTTAAGTTGAGAGACAGTAACGGAGATAGACAAGTTGTGTGTACTGCTGCAACAGTTACGGGTTTGAGTCCTTTTATCTCTGAAACATACAGCCACTCACTTTAAAATTAAATTGGTCCCAACATTTATTCAATAAGCACTTGTCTTGTAGATAATTCACTGCAGAGTGCTTTTGACATATAAGGATTTAATTTCTCTTGGACAAGTTATTAGCACGACACATTTAAGCTAACCACCTACGATGAGGTTATTGGGATCTCTAAAACCTTAAGTGATCATTGCAAAAAAAAAAAAGTTTGTTCAAGGGAGGGGGACACTTTTGAGAATTCATATTTTACATATGCATACACACAAGTAACACAGGCAGCCATGCATATTTGTGCATGTACACAGACAGCTCACAACTTCCTATGACCACATGCTTCTGTGAAGCTGAAAAAAAAATTCTCCAATTATGCAGATGTATCTTAGCTTTCCCAAAATGAGAATATACAGACTTTTCACTTCTGAAGGATTTCTAAAGTACAGGAGGAAAAAAAAAATACCATTCAAATTCACTTTCTCTGTGAGACCAAATCTATTATGAAGTAGAAAGTGGTTCTAGAAAACACTTAGGTATCCTCCAAAGTCAAGCACCCCTCCCCACCCCCCACTCCACACTTCACTCATACACTGAACTTGCAGGTAGCCACAGGATGCTGCTGGAAGAGTCAAAGCAATTTAAGTAAAATGGTGTACCCTAAAGTGATTTTTTTCACCCAGTTTAAAGGGTGTTCTTTCAACAGACTCAGAAGGATAGGAAAGAAATTCCAATCTAAGGACTGACCATCTTGGGAAAACATGATAGTTCCCACTCCTTTTTCCTAGTGGTCTCTCCTCATTCCAGACTCCCGCCCCCTCCCACATGAAATTTAACATCATAGTTCACAATAATAAATTGCATTTGAAATCTGAATACAAATAGAGTGTATAGCCTCCCCCCTTTCTCTCACCCCTCTCAATGCACGGCCGATCTTTATTTGTGTAGCTTCCACTTTCTAAGGACAGACACAATCAGAGTCCAATCAATGGCTGTCAGAACTGAATCTATGCAATTTTAATTTGTAAAAAAGAAAAAAAAAGTTGTTGGTTGCTAACCTTGTGGGGGAGACTGTGTATCCCTGAGGAGAAAAAAAAAAAAAAAACAAAATCTTGTAGAGTTCTCCCTGAGAAATGACGTTACACATGAGCAGGAAATTCAGGCAAGAAAGGCTAATTGAATATATAGAGAGAATTAGGTTAAAAAATAGAGTACAATCTAGTATCACATTTTCACCAGTGTAAGTTGAAATGAAGGTGTCTTCGAGTCGCCAGAGATGCCAGAGCGTTTAGATGTCGGCCACAGATGGGAACACCTATTGAAATGTGTCTGAAGAAGATTAATAGAGCTTGTCACTGTTGGGAAAGCACTGCTTGGCTGTAACTTTCCACAAGCCCAAGATGAATTACCGATGAATGCTCACTTATCAACCCCATCGCTACCGTTCGACACTAAATCAAATTGAGAAGTTATCTGCGATCAGAAAATTTCTTTTTAAAATAGACGTATACCTTTAAGCCCCGACTCGTTAATAATCTCACTCACAAAACAACACCCCCCCACCACCCCGGCCCTAGGTGCTTCTTCCTTGGCTTATGCTGAATTATAGCTCAATAATGAATATATTTTTAAAGTTCACACACAAACGGACATCTGGTCAGACTGCGAAGTTTGACAGCATTTTAATGAGTATGAAGGCTTCTTGGAAATCATTATTTAATATTTCGGCAAATGTGTTCTCTTTGACTTTTTAGATTCTGCTCCCCGCCCCCAATGGAAAAGAAAAACGAAAGTGGATTTTGTCGTAGTAAACCCTGTGACTGCACAGTTATCTAACGATCTCCTGTAATGAAATTATGAGAATTTTGAGTTTAGGTAGATAACAGAAGAACAAGATTAAATGGATTATGGTGAGAGATAAACATGCACAGGTTTTTAATGGCTTAATGATACCACATGTAGCTCAGTTGGGGGATATGTCGAGACCTCTATTGCACTACTCGTGTAGTGTATGACTGAGCTAAACTCAGTCCCCACCCCTGCATCCCTGTCACCACGCTTCTTAAACACCATCTCACTTTGTCACTATGTGGTCCTGGATGGCCTGCAACTCAGAGACCCTCCTGACTCTGTCTTGCCACTGCTGTGATTCAAGGCCGGGAACCACCACGCCCATCCTCCACGTCTCATTTTTAAGGTGATTTATTTGAGAAGCAAGACAAAGTCATTATGTCCTTTTATTATTTATTAATTCTGAGCATCTAGAGTGTTTCCAACCTTGGGCTCATTATGTTTTAATAAAATCACCAACTGCTGTATTTTGTAGGGCCCTTCCTATCACAGAAGAGCTTCCCATGCAGGGTTCATTTCATGTCTACATTTCTACTGAAATTCCATACAGGTAGATTTTTTAAGTTTCCATTTTGCTGATGAGTAAACTGAGGCTGGGTTGTTTAAAGTTGGGGGGGCATCAATGGAAACAGAATTAGAAACTATGCCCTCTGTGTCTTTTAGTTTTCACTGGGGAGTTTTTTCACTCTGAGTCATTATGTAACTTGAGATCAAAGATGGTGACAATGCTATTTACAGCTAACATCTAATACAGACTACAACATGAACAGTAACATGCTACCTAATCTCGACACAACTTTCCTCTTTGATAGATACTGCTATTATTTCAATAATCCCAGAGAACAAAATGAGACGTCTGGATTTTAGGACTTGTCTAAAACATTTCTGAAACACTGGGGACACTCGAGAAGTTTGAGTGCTAATGTCCTTATGGTAGCCTATCCTAGGTCCTGGTTTTTAATTGTAAGAAGCCTTGAATTCTCTGAGTGAGACTAAGACATCGCCATTCTCATCCAAATATGCAAATATCTTAGATTCTGAGGCAGGGCAGAAGAGTTTGTGGGTGGGTTTCTTTGTCTTTACTTACTATTTATTTATGTAGTTCACACGCAGTGCTAGGGGACAAACCCTAGGGCCTCACAGTGCAGAGAAAGGAATTTACCCCTGAGCTTCACTGCCTATCCCTGAGTCCTGGCTATAAAGCCTGGTTTCACCAGTTACTCAGTATATGGCCTCCATTACCTTGACCTTTACTGTTCTCCTCAAAATTGGGATGATTAGATCCAATGTACCAGACTATGATGTTTTGGAATACTTTTCTCATAAGTGAGAGAGAAGAGAGGAACCAAGAAGCAGGAACTATGTCTGAGATGAGTGGCTACAAGACATACTCAGGCCTAGGCCAGAGGGGCAGCTTTGCCATCCTGGATACTGTCAGTAAGAATGCTCAGCTCTATAAGAAGTCCTGCTTGTATTGTCTGTCTGTCTGTCTGTCTGTCTGTCTATATGTCCGTCTGCCCATCCATCTATCTATCTATCTATCTATCTATCTATCTATCATCTATCTATCTATCTATCTATCTATCTATCTATCTATCTATCTATCATCTATCTATTTATTTTGCCTCTAAAGAGCATGGAATAGTCATTCCTCCATTCTTTGTGAGGATGGACCAAAGCCCATGCATGCTCCAGGTCTGGAGAGGCATGGGAGAATTTACGCAGCTAATTGTTTTACAACACTGACACAAACCCCTTTTCTCTTGGTCCCCAAACCACGAATCAATATGTCTCTGAAAATACCATTTCCCACTATGCTTCCTCTTCAACCAGTACCCCTGGACCCCTGGTTATTTCTGCATGATAATGTGTGTGTGTGTGTGTGTGTGTGTGTGTGTGTGTGATGTGATACTTTGTGTAAGTTGTTACTGATTGTAATAAGAAAACATTTTCTAAGTCTCTGTCTCAATCATTTCTTGTAAAACATATAAAGCTAACCAGCCAGAGAGCTGGAGCTTTGGTAAGGAATTCCACAGTAAGAATGCTTTGTCAACAAGGTGTGGCAGAACATTCCTGCAATCCTAGTTCTCAGGAGGTAGAGAAGGACAGATTAGCAGTTCAAGGTCACATCCTCAGCTCTCTTGCAAGCTCCTAGCCAACCTGGGCTACCTGAGACTCTGTGTCTAAAAGCAAATAAGCAAGTAAAAATAATCTCTAATTTCTATTCGATCTCAAAAAGACACCA